AACAACCAGCCCACCATGAGGCCCTGCTCGAGAGTGACCCGACGGCTCTGCGCCAACGTCCAGCGGGACACGCTGTGCCTCGTGCTCAACCACAGGGACGACTCCACCTGCTCCATTGGTGCCTTTGAGCTCATGTACAAAGAGGTAGGCTGGGGGGGTGGGGGGCAGACACCCCCAGACACTCTAAGCCCCCACTTCCTGCTATGTCTTCCCACAGACTGCCATGCCCATTCATCTGCCTATGGGGACAAAGCTGATGCTCACGGGCTGTTCCTTGAAGAAGCCAGAAGAGCATCGATCCCGGGACAAGCCTCGTACCACTGCACTCAGAGTCTACCAGTTCCCCATGTCTGCAGGGGGCAGGGCCACCCAGGTCCCCCGGCGCAGAGCAGCACAAGGGAAGCTGCCTCCTCTAGGCCGACGGAAAGGCCGCAGACTCCCCAGCTCTGGCCCTCCAACACCAACGCAGCCCCCCGGCTGCTCTGCCAGGAGCTGCCAGATACCTGCCTGGAGTTGAAAAACCTGCCATTGGCTCTAGCGGCCCCAGGCTGCTTAGGCGCAGGCAGCTGCACCCCTGATCAAGAGCTATCCCCTGGCTAGGGTACCCACACCGCTGCTCTGCAAAGACCCCATTGCTGCTTTGCAGTACGCACCCTCAGCATCTGTGTGTACTTTAACATGACTCTGTGATGAGGAGCCTGGCTTGGACCTTCTGTCTGTGGGAGGTGTAGGCACAGCTAGGGCTGCCACTGGGATGGGGCTGCAGGCAGGAACTAGGGCTGCTGGTGCAGCTCCTCTGCCAGGGCAGAGGGCAGGCGGGAAAAGCCACCTCTGCTCCTGCCTGTTTGTGGTTGCCCATGCCAGACACAGTCATGGCAATGGTAACACCACTGCATCCCGGCACTGGGAATCAGGCACAGGGCAGTGGCAGGGCTGGTGCCCCCTGCAATGCCAGAGGAACAGCAGGGGGAATCGCATCCTGTGTGTGCCAAGAAAAGAACTGGGTGCTGAGCCACACTGGCAGCAGGTGGGGATTAATGGGGTGGCAGGGGGGAGTGGGGTGCCCACACTGGTCCCTCATGGGTACTAGGGCTCCTGGGGCTGCTTGGGTGTGCAGGAGAAGGATGGCAAGGGGGCACAGAGGATCCCTGGGGCAGCACCAGCTCCTGAAGGTTCCTTTTATGACAAGGTCAGACTGGAAGTGGACCACAGTGGGCCATCTGACCCCACCTCCCTGCTCAAGCAGGGTCATCCTAGAGCACATGGTACAGGATTGCATCATGCCAGTTCTTGAATATCTCCAGGGAGGGAGACTCCACAGCCTCTTGTACAATCTGTTCCAGTGCAGTCACCTGCATAGTAAAGAAATTCTTCCTCAAATTCAGCTGGAACTGTGGCTGTCAGGGCATCTCCTCTGTTGGGGCAGAGAGAAGGTAGGACCTTGTGGCACCTCAGTGCTTGTGTCTGCTAGGCACTGGGCCTGCACCTGCTCCCTGAGGACAGCGGGGCCAGGACTTGCATGTCCCTCTCTAGGCTGGGTGGCCGTGATCACTGTGTGATTGGTGTGTTGGCTGTGTGATCAGTGCTGACCAGGGCACATGCCAGCTGCACGATACATCAGCTGCAGAAAAAGACTAACATTTCTAGCAGAGTTTTGATGTGGAGATTAGTTGTGAGATTTCTCTGCTGTTAGAGGCAGTTCTTCAGCTCTCCTCTCTGCAAGTATCACGAAGTTCTCCTCACTTCGGTAACTCCTGCTGTTAGGTACAGATTGTTTGCTGCTGGCTTGTGTTCGTCAGGGCAACTGTGAGCAAGTGGAAGAGGATTTGAATGCAAAAGGAACAAGCTAACCTGTCCAGCAGCAGGGGCCATCTCCTGTATTGGTTTGGATCATGTTGTACAAGTAGGCTTGCTGGTGAGTAGCCTCTGAAAAGATTGTTTGGAAGAGCAAGTACTGAGAGAAGCCATTTTCTGTTCCTGTAGGAGATCCTTAGGAGCATCATCCTTGTGCTTTCTCATCCCAGCCAGAATGGGCTGCAGACTCTCTCAGTCTTTGCATGTTGTTTGACAAAAGGAGAGGGAGAATAGCTGAGTTTAGCCATGTTTTGATATCTACCACTCAATCAAAAAATCAGAAAACATTTTTGCAATACTAATCAACTCATCCAGGTGCCAGTGGCCCAGAGGCAGACATGGGATCAAATAGAGAGGTTGGGCTGGAATCAAGAGGTGTCTTTCAAGGCTGTCCTCAAGTGTGGCAATGACGATGCATTTAGACTCTCCCCTTGTAAGTCAGAAGTGGAGTTGGAGAGCCTGATCCAAGAAGCATATCAGGATTTTAGGGATGTGACAGCAAATATCACAAGGAGAGACAAGGGATAAAGCTCCAGATCTTAAAACTGACATCAGCAGACTGAAGGGTACTGAGTAAAGAGCTGGAAGCAAGTTGTGAGAG